AGAGAGAGACTAGATAAATGGGAGTTCCTAAAAATCAAACACCAATGCCAATCAAAAGAGTTCACCAAAAGAGTAAAAAGACAACCTACACACTGGGAAAAAATTTTTGGCTATGACAAATCCAATCAGCATCTAATCTCTAAAATCTACAAGATACTGAAAAACCTCAACAACAAAAAGACAAATAACCCAATTACAAAATGGGCAAAGGATATGAACAGGCACTTCACCAAAGAAGACATTCAAGCGACTAACAGACACATGAAGAAATGCTCATGATCATTAGCCATTAGAGAAATGCAGACCAAAACTACAATGAGATATCATCTCACCCCAACAAGGCTAGCATTAATCCAAAAAACACAAAATAATAGATGCTGGAGAGGTTGGGGAGAGACTGGAACACTTATACACTGTTGGTGGGAATGTAAAATGGTATAACCACTTTGGAAATCGATTTGGCGCTTTCTTAAAAAGCTAGAAATAGAAGTACCATATGATGCAGCTACCCCGCTCCTTGGAATATATCCTAGAGAAATAAGAGCCATCACACAAATAGATAGATGCATTCCCATGTTCACTGCAGCACTGTTCACAACAACAAAAAGATGGAAACAACCTAGGTGCCCATCAACGGACGAATGGATAAACAACTTATGGTATATCTACACAATGGAATACTATGCGATGATAAAGAACAACGATGAAGCTGTGAAACATAACATGGAGGAAGCTGGAGGTCATTACGCTGAGTGAATTTAGTCAGTCACAGAAGGACAAATATTGTATAAGACCACTATTATAAGAACTCATGAAAAAGTTTAAACACAGAAGAAAACGTTCTTTGATGGTTAGGAGGGTGGGGAGGGAGGGTGAGAGTTCTTTACTAACCAGATAGTAGATAAGAATCATCTTAGGTGAAGGGAAGGACAGCACACATTACAGGGGAAGTCAGCACAATTGGACTAAACCAAAGCTAAGAAGTTACCTGAATACAATCAAACACTTTGAGGGACAGAGTAGTAGGGGTAGGGGTCTGGGGACCATGCTTTCAGGTAACATCTAGGTCAACTGGCATAACAAAGCTTATTAAGAAAACGTTCTGCATCCT